GAACATTGATTCCCACTAAAAAAAAGTTCCGTGTCATGTTCATTGATCTGGTTTACTATCTTCTTAATCTTCCTTGAGAAATCAAATATACACAGAAACTTACTGAATTTTTTTACTCAAATGTTTTTCCACTGTCTTAATAACTGGGATCCAGCTATTCCTTTTTTTTTTTTACGTGAGGAAATGCGTTTACGCAAGGGGGTAGTGTGGGACACGCCCCTTGATTTGATATCAAGAAGAATACCCACTAAAACCTCACGGTGGCCGGCCACGACGCATTGGGGAAGGGCACCGGGATCTCTTACGAACGCTACCGGGGCCCCCCAGTGCCTCCCCTCTCCCCCTCAACGAAGGGAGGAGTGCCATCTCCGGTGGGGAGTGAATACCTCCCCACCTGACCGCGGGTGCCACAACCAGTATTCTGTTCCCCGACCCATAGGGAAATATGCCGCTATGGGGCCAACGGCTTCCCGCGACGCAAGCGCCAGGCATGTTCCAAAAGAGTGGGGAGGGGGGGCGGCGTCGCGTGACTCCCGATCCCGCTCGTCATCCGACTTCCGCGAGACAGTAGTCTCGCAGAAGAACGACACCGCGTTCCAGGACTTCTCGCTCTCGACCATGGCCGAAACGACGGCCGGGAGCGACAGGTCCCCTCCAATAGCTAGGCGGAGTGCCCGCCTCTCTCGCGAGAAGGCCGGGCACTCCTCCATCCGTGCCCGATGAGCACATGCGTGAGCCGGTAGGTGAGCCTGCCATGCCCGCGGTCCAGCCAACCATCAAGGTTGGCCAGAACCGCGCCGACAGTGCGCTTGCGGGCAGCGGGGCTGTTTAGCAGCTCCCACCACCACGCATCTCGTGCGCACCGCCGTGACTGGCGCTTCCATCGTTCGACCGCTTCAGCCGGCGGGTCCTCCCCGCTCCGGCGGTGCTCCCGCCGAAGCCTGAAAACTTCGGCGTCGGCGGTCGCCTGGAGGTCAACGGGGAGGTATGCCGCCAGGATCAGCGCCGCCTCCGTGGAAATGGTGCGGTATCTTCTCACCACCCTGATGGCCATCCGCCGCTGCATGCGGCGGAGCATGTGCCGGCTTTGCCGGCACTTGGCCAGGGTGTCGGCCCATACGGGACATCCGTATAGGGCCATGGCTCGCACCACTTTAACATAGAGGTGGCGCATCCTCTCTTGCGGCCCCCCGAGATTGGGCATGAGGTGACCAAGCATGGTCGCTACTCTCTCAACCCGGGGGGACAAGCGGTCGAAGTGACCAGCGGCTATCGATGTCCAGGCCAAGATATTTGATCCGGTCCTGGACATCGATGCAGGCTCCACCTATGCGGATCCGCGCCGGGGGAGGTCGCCGCGACAGAGGCAGCCCGTGAAACCAGACCGCCTCCGTCTTCTGCGGCAACACTTCCAACCCCAATGCGCGGATCCGGGCGACGACCGAGGCCACTCCTTTCTCGGCGACCCGGCTCGTCCTCGTCCATTCCCTGCCCTCGGCGATAAAGAATGTGTCGTCTGCAAAGCAGACGACCGCCACGCCGGGAGGTAGGGGCCCGCCTAGCACGCGGTTGTACCCCACCAACCAAAGAACGGGACCCGAACAGAACCCCTGGGGTACACCGCGTGTCACCTCCCTCCGATGCATGCCGTACCGTCCCAGATACTCCACCCATCTATCCCGCAGGTAGTCGGCGAACACGGCCATCAGGTGAGATGGCGCTCCAGACTCCTGGAGCGCCTCCCGTATCTTGCCCCAGGGCAGGGTGTTAAACGCGTTGGAGATGTCTACAGACACCCCCAGCGCCACCCCGCCCCGGGACACGGCCGAGTGCGCGAGGGCCTTGACGTGCTCGATCGCGTCAAGCGTCGAGCGGGCACCGTGAAATCCATACTGGCACTCGGCCAGGCCGAGCTCGCCGACGCGAAACAGATAGGCGGCGAGGCGGGAGGCGAGCACACGCTCTAAAAGCTTCCCCGCCTCGTCCAGCAGGCAAACGGGCCGGTAGGCGGAGGGAGGAGACGAGGACGAGCCTAGCCCTCTTCCACTGTCGCGGCACGCGCCCCGACTTCAGGCAGCCGTCCAGCAGCCGCCGGAAGCGGGACCCGAGGACGCGCAAGGCCATTACCCAGGCCCGGCCGGGAATGCCGTCAGGGCCGGGGCTGTGTTGCGGGTCCCGAGCTTAGCGACGGCATCGGCGAGCTCCTGTTCGGAAACCCCTACGTTGGCGGACCAGGTAATCGGGTCCGCTTGCTCGGCTGATCCTCGCTCCTCCGGATCGTCCGGAAAGAGTGTATCGACGACCCGCTCGAGCACGTCGGGTTCCAGACTCTCCGTGACCGGCGGTGCCAGTGGTCGCAGGCGCCCCATAACGATCCGGTAGGGACGGCCCCACGGATCGCGGTCCAAAGTGTCCAGGAGCTCGTTCCAGGCTCGGGCCTTGGCCTCCTTGATGGTCGACTGGAGGGCGACCGTTGCCTGGCGGGAGTCACGGTACAGCTCCTCCTCCCTCGCCGGGTCGTGACTTCGTCTGCAGCGGAAACGCGTAAACCGGCGTCGGGCCGCCACACTGCTAACTCGCATGGCAGCGATCTCCGACCACCAGTACACGGGCCGCCGCGGCGGAGCGCGGATCCGGGGCATGGCGGCATCGCAGATAGCCGTCATTGCGCCCCAGACCCACTCTTCCTCCACCTCGACGTCGTCGCACGGTCCGGCCGGCTTTTCCGCCCAGGACATGGCAAGGGCTGCGGCCATCAGCGCGTTCTCATCAAGACGGCCTAGCGCCCATCGGCGTCGTGGCTGTCGCCCCGCGGGGCGGCGGGTGGCCGTGCTGGGTGGCGGATACATCAAAGATGATATGGAGGTGGTTGCCCAACGTTTCCGCCACCCTCCGCCCCGACACAAATCTCGCGGCAGTGGGTGATGCTCAGGCGATGTCCACAATGGAACCTCTCCACCGCCGCGAGAACGTAGTGACGGACCCCCGGTTGAGTAACCGGAGGTCCAGTCCCGCCGCCCACTTCAGCACTGTATCTTCCCTCGCGTCCGTCGTGGGGCAACCCCAAGCCGTGGATTTGGAGTTGAAATCCCCAAGGACTAAGGTTGGTCGGGTTCGGCAGTGCGATTGCACGCAATCTCGGACCCGATCCAACAACGTCTCAAAGGACGCGAGGGTCAGGCTGGGCGGGGCATAGACGCCTAGGACCGCCAGGCCGCCATAGCGTGCCGCGACATAGCTGCGCCCTCTAGCTAAAACGCTAAAGGGTGCGTCTCCCCTACTCAAAATCGCCACGGAGCCCAAATCGTCCCCGGCCCAGTCTGGGCGATCGGGGACACGGTAGGGCTCCGAGGCGACGACCAATCCCACCCGCAGCTTGGATATTGTCTGGATGAGCAGATCCTGAGCCCGAGCCGCGTAGTTGAGATTGGCCTGTAGGACCTGCGGTTGCAGGGGGGCGTGAGAACCCGTTTTAGGCAATCTCCATAGCTCCTCCGCGGCCGGGTCCCTCTTCACCTGCTTCGGCAGGCGCACCTGGCTGCTCCCGGGGCGCCTGCACTTCTCTTGCCTCTGTCACCAGCGCCTGCACCGGCTTCAGAGGGAGAGGCGCTCCTTGTGGCGGCGGCGCAGTGGGAGACCGAGTCTCCTGCTGCGTTGCAGGGGGCGCCTGCGTCCCTTTTGCGCCGTTCTTTTCCCAGCAGGAGAAGAGCGGGGCACAGCCCTTTGCCACCAATCGTTGACCGGACGGCCGCCCCAGGTCGGCACAGACGGGGCACTTCGGGGGTGAGGTGCACTCCCGCGCCCCGTGGTCTGTGCCGTCGCAGATGTAGCAGCGGCCTGTCCGGTCTGCCTCGCAGGTGCAGCGCCGCATGACGTGCAAAGGTTCGTGATCATTGCTATTTCACGGAAAAGTACAGAGGCGCGGCGCGTAATAGTTGCAATCTGAAGTATCAAAATTCATTTACAGTGCCTGTAATATTTCATAATTTATCTGGCTACGATGCGCATTTTATAATTAAACAATTCGCCAACGCATTGTGGGTAAAGTAAATTTGCTGCCAATGACAAAGGAAAAGTATATATGTTTGGCAAAATGGCATTAAATTTCGTTTCATTGATTCATGCAAATTTTTGAGCTCGAGCCTCGGTAAGTTGTCATTGTATCTTGGAAAAGAAAGGCTGCTGTTAGACGTCGAGCGACGTCGAGGCGCCGTACGGGGCCATGCCCGATAACCCTGGCCTTCGTCTGTTGTCACCCCCACCCCAGACGAGGTGGAAAGACGACGACGTCGAGGCAACGGTCAGGCCCATTGCCGAAAAGGCCCTTAGTTGTGTTTTAGGATCGAAGTGCGAAGCACAGCAATATACTTTTGTGTTTCTGTGTCTATCCTTGATTTTATCCAACACCGAATCGTGAAGAAAGAATTTTAACATCTTACGAGCTCGTACTTTGATCTTTTTACCCACAAGGGTGTGTTTTCGTCTGATGATGTAACTTAAGTTACTTTATCATAACAATTGTTATGATAAATTAAACGAAACTCGGTTGCCTGCTTACCAAGACTTTTACAATTGATTGAATGATAAGAACATATCCATATCCGATTACGAGCACGCAGTAAACGTTTGGAATTATTTTAATATCAAAATATTAGGCGAATACAGCGATTTGTATTTAAAAATTGATGTATTATTATTGGCTGATATGTTTGACAATTTCAGAGACGATTGCATTCAGAGCTATAGATTGTATCCGGTATATTACTACACTCTTCCTGGTTTTACATGGGATGCACTGTTAAAGTTTACAAATATCAAATTTGAATTATTAACTGACATGGATATGTTAATGTTTTTTGAGCGTGGAATACGTGGCGGTCTGAGTCAATGCTCGCACCGGTACGCCAAAGCAACTAACAAGTACATGCCATCATACGATCTATCGAAACCCTTAGAAATATTTAATGTATTTTGACGTAAACAATTTGTATGGTTGGACCATGTCTCAACCTTTACCGTACGGAGGCTTTCGATGGATCGACGAACACGAGGCGTCCAAGTTCGATGTAAATTCTATTCCCACGGACGGGCCCGGGGGGTACATTCTAGAAGTAGATTTAGAGTATCCCCGTGACCTTCATGATTCGCACACCGATCTTCCGCTGTGTCCCGTGCGCGAGAAACCGCCAGATAAACGAGACGAGAAATTGCTTGCCACGGTATGTGATAAAGAGCGCTACGTCATACATTACTGGAACCTGCAGCAATGCCTACGGCACGGACTTCGCTTGAAAAAAATTTATCGCTTTCTAAGATTCGATCAGTCTCCATGGTTGCGCAGCTACATCGAACTGAATACAATGTTGCGAACGCAAGCTACAAACGAGTTTGCTAAGAATTTGTTTAAATTAATGAACAACGCTGTATTCGGTAAAACGATGGAAAATGTGCGTAATCATGTAGATGTGAAATTAGTTACACGTTGGGATGGTCGATACGGAGCGAAAGCCCTTATTTCCAAACCGAATTTTCATAGTTCTAGCATTTTTGATGAAAATTTAGTAGCAATAGAATTGCGTAAATTGAGAGTTAAATTCGAAAAACCCGTGTACGTAGGTATGTGTATTTTGGACATATCAAAAACATGTTTGTATAGTTTCCATTATGATTACATGCTTCCAAATTTTGGTCAGAAATGTAAAGTTTTGTATACAGACACAGATAGTTTAATTTGCGAGCTCGAGTGTGAAAACATGTATAGTATTACAAAACGCGATATAGCTAGATTCGATACGAGCGATTACGCCGAAGGTAACGTGTACGGTATGCCTCCCGCCAACAAGAAAGTGCCAGGTCTGATGAAGGATGAGAATAACGGTATGATAATGACAGAATGCGTGGGACTGAGAGCAAAGATGTACACTACTCGCGTGCTTGACAAGGATGATGTGAAAAAAATTAAGGGAATAAAAAAAAATATTACAGTAGACAAAATAACTTTTGATGACTACATACAGTCTTTGAAAAATCATACAGAAACAACAATTAGACAAAACTGCATTCGATCAAAATTACATAACGTGTATTCGATTAGCGAACAAAAAATTGCTCTTAGTCCACACGATGATAAGAAATGTGTGTTGACGAATGGTGTAAATACCTTGCCGTGGGGGCACTACTGTATTGCGGAAGAAAATGATGATGACGTCGAAATGATGTAAATAATTATCGAAACTTAAACATTATAAATATTTATTTTCATTATATTTATTATAATTATTATATTTATATTTACTTACTTTTTTCAATAATCATTTCTTACAAAACATTACTTTTATCGATCCATGAATTATGAAACGAATCCAATCCCAACCATTTCACGTACACTTTATTTCCTTTCCTACATATCTAGAGACGCGGTAGTGTCTCGACGCCAAGTACATGAAAAATTATACACCACCGTGTATACTGGCGCTGGCGCTACCACGTATCTTTTACTCGTAAAATTGCGATTCCAATCTAACCTGAAACTTCTGTCATTAATATCTCGTCACGCCTGCTGTATTTTCTAGATCTAAAGGCATTTTTCTAATGTAAATCGCATATAAGCTTTCTAATAAAACCAAAATCAATAAAATCGGTCTATGTATAACTGAGATATCGTAATATCATGTCATGAATCGGTCAGAAATTGTAGATTTTTCTTCTGATTCTGATTCTTATTTTTTTCGTCAACACTTAGCCAATAAGTGCTAAAGCCGTTCGTCGATTCGTCAACTCTCGAAATCAGTCGGCAAGGCTCTTCGGTCGGAATTGTAATATGGCTGTCACTCATGTCGTTCGTTCATTTCTAACCTGTAACTGTCAGTTTGGATTTGTGACATTTGGTTTCTTGCAACAAGAGTTTCTGACATGCATTGTGCGTACTTTTGAAAACTTTTGAAAGGACTGAAACTGGAATTATAATACAATAAAAATGCGTTACCAATAGTGGATCTCTGTACATTTTCCCACTTTATTTATTAACATTTAAATTTATTACAACAAGATTTTCTGCCACGCCTTGTACATACTTGTGAATTTTATTCTAATACAATAAATTGTGCATTACACATAGTGGATTTCTTTCTTTATTTCTCATTTCATGTTTAACATTTCAATTTCTAGCAACAAGACATTTTTCGATGCGTTGTGTGCAGTGTGGAAACATAAAAGACTGAAAATGGTATTATAATATAATAAATTGTGGGTTAGAAATAGTGTAGACCTCTTTTTTCATTTCATACTTCATTTTTAACATTTCAGTTTGTTACAACAAGACTTTCTGCCTTGCGTTCTGTGTGCTGTTAAAAACTTAAGGGACTGAATCTAGTATTGTCATATAATAAATTGTGCGTTATTCATATGACATTAATTTTATTTGTAAATAACACATGCAAACCTTATTTTACTTGCAAATTAATGCAGAGCTTAAAATAAAAATACATTTGTCTTTTACTTTGTAAGCGTAGAGTCTACAATATACATAATGTGTCTGAAGCCAGTTATAGGAAAGAGACCAGCTTCTGTTCTTTAAGTTTTCAAAAGTATACAGAACGCATGGCAAGATGTTTCACTGCAAGAAATTTGAATGTTAATGATGAAGTAAGAAATGAAAAATAGAAATCAACTATTTGTAACGAATAATTTATTGTATTAGAATAAAGTTCAGAAGTACGCAGAACGCGTGGCAGAAAGTCTTGCTGCAAGAAATTCGAATGTTAAAGATAAAGCAAGAAATGAAAAAAGAAATCCACTATTTGTAATGCACAATTAATCGTATTGCAATATCAGTTTCAGTCCTTAGAATTTTCAAAAGTACACACAATGCATGGCAGAAAGTTTTGTTGCAAGAAATTTAAATAATGAGAAAATTAACAGAGATCCACTATTTATAACACAGAATTTATTGTATTACAATAATATAGAAAAAGAGAGATCAAACTTAATCCTTTAATTTCTCAAAAGTACATATGACACATTACAGAAAGTCTTCTTGCATTTAAATGTTACTGATAAAGTGATTACATTTTTTCTTTAATAAATTTCTTGCAATGAGACTTCCTGCAATGCATTCCGCGTACTTTTAAAACCTTAAAGGATTCAAACTGATCTCCCATTTTCTATTATTAGAAGGTATTCACTATAGAAATTAGCTTTGTAAAAAGAAGTGAGATCCCTATAAAAAACTTCAAAAAAGTAAAAAAATTACGCCAAGTACATGAAAAAATGGAGGACTTAAAGAGTAATCATAGAAAAATAGAAGATCCCCCTAAAAAAATTCAAGAAAGTAGAAAAAGAAGCGAAATTGAAATGAGCAGCCAGTACATGAAGGTCCTTTTCAGTAAAGTGCAAAGGCGACACTGTGTAACACAATATAAAATTTGGTGGTTTCCAACTATGCACAGCTAAAATGCTGTGTTCAACAGTGCAGACGTTCAGACCCTAATGACAATTCATGTAAACTGACTGCTCCGCACTTTGGCGATGAAATGAAGAAGCTAAATAGTGTATCAACCACAAACTGAGACTGTTTAGACATTTGCCTAGATGTCCGTGACCTGGAAATCAAATGCTTGGCGTGGCCAGGCAAGGTCAAGAATTTGATGAATAAGAATTATTTTAAAATGCAAAATAATAAAAATGTACTCATATTGTCAATGTTTTAAACTGACAAATTATCTGAAAGCCTGTAAGAGGAGGGGTATCTGCGTCAATGACTGTCCTTAGAAATATTTTAAAACATAATAAAATGAAAATGTACTCATATTGTCAAAGTTTTAGGTTGACAAATTATGTGAAAGTCTGCAAGAGAGAAAGTATAGGTATTGATGATCTAAGAATGCTTTGCCTGGCCACGCCAAGCATTTTTCCAGGCCACGGACATCTAGGCAAATGTCTAAACAGTCTCAGTTTGTAGTTGATACACTATTTAGCTTCTTCATTTCACCGCCAAAGTGCGGAGGAGTCAGTTTACATGAGTTGTCATTAGGGTCCGAACGTCTGCACTGTTGAACACAGCATTTTAGCTGCGCATAGTTGGAAAGTACCGAATTTTTCATTGTGTTATACAGTGTCGCCTTTGCACTTTGCTGGAAAGCACCTTCGTGTACTGGCAGCTCATTTCGATTTCACTTCTTTTTCTACTTTCTTGAATTTTTTAAAGGGGATCTTCTATTTTTCTATGATTACTCTTTAAAGGTGCGCAGGAGCCAGGCCAAACTCCGAATTGACTTCAGCGACAGTTGCGGAAAAAGTAGGAAACTCCGAGACAAGGACAGAGAAGGCGATACAACAATTGCAGGAGAGACGAGCACAGGGGATTAGGCTAGCATGATTTTTTTTTCAGGATATTGAAGGAATTAAGCAATATTTTCTAATCATTCTGGTTTTAATATATTCGTTACACTTTGGCGGATGCGACTCCAAGACCTGATTTTGCAATTTCGGCCTTAAAACTTTATATACAGTAAAATGAAGATAGCAAACGTCCTTTTACTATTTATAAATTTTTAAGGCCGAAATTGCAAAATCAGGACTTGGAGTCGCATTCGCCAAAGTGTAATGAAGATATTAAAACCAAATTTATTAGAAAATATTGCTTGCTTCCTTCAATATCCTGGAAAAAAAATCATGCTAGCCTAATCCGCCTGTGCTCATCTCTCCTGCTATTGTTGTATCGCCCTCTCTATCCTTGTCTCGGAGTTTCCTACTTTTTCCGCAACTGTCGCTGAAATCAATTTGGAGTTTGGCTCTGGCTTCTGCGCACCCTTAAGTCCTCCACATTTTCATGTACTTGGCGTAATTTTTTTACTTTTTTGAAGTTTTTATAGGGATTACCTTTTCTGCCAAGTACACGTCTGGATCTGCAACCGAATGTAGCTCGTACTCGTAAAATCCTTCTGCGACAGGATTTTCTTGAGAATCTGTTAACAGGTACGTCACCGGATTTGTTTGATGAATTTTATCAATTTTAAACACTTCGGTCGTCCTATTTGGTGTATATCCTTTAGTAAAAAGTGTCTTGTACTTGCTAATGCGTACGTAGTCTCCGACTTTGAACTTCGCTGGACCCGCAATTTTCAAATGAGAGTACACGGTAGATAACAAGTTACTAACATTCTTCAAAGTCACATCAACCGGACGCATTCCTATCGTTCGATGTTTTCGATGATTCTTGTACAAGTTTGGGTAGGGTGTCGATCCATCGGTAAGAGCCGTTTAAAGTAAACAGTTTCCACATGTCACTCTTCAGCGTACGATTGAACCGTTCTACGATGGAAGCCTTCATCGCCGAGTGCGTCAAATAATGATTAATACCATGTTTTGTCATGAGTTTTTGCATTTCAGTGTTGTAAAATTCTTTTCCTTGATCTGGTTGCAAATTGTTTGGATATCGATTTCGAAATATCTTTGCAAAAGCTTTAGCTACCTCAACCCCACTTTTACTCTTGAGCGGCACAGCCCATGCATACTTGGAGAACACATCGATAATGGTTAGTATGTACTTGTTACCACCATTTATACGCGCGTGAGGTTGCATTTCGGCGAGATCGGCTTGCCATAAATCGTCGAAACCATGTACTATAACTCGTCGCCGCGGAAAAGTCCGTCTGGCGGGAGCGTGCAGTTCCTCCACTAATCGCGTCTTCTCTTTGCTCATATTGAGGACTCGAAACTGAACAAAAGAAATTTAAAATGTATGAAAATAATTGTACGATGTGATCTATGAATTTTCCGTTGACGTTGCATTCGCCGGTTTCATCCGATTGTTCACCCCTACTGGTCTCTTCTGGATACATCTTGGTTAGAGACTGACATGGTTTACAGCATGTAAATATATTTATTATGTTGAAATAGCAATATCTATGTGTGTTTTACATTGAATTCAACGTACTGTTGCAATTTACGGACATTGTTCGTGATTTCTTCCTGCATCTTTAAACATCTGGCTTGGTATTTTTTCTCTGTCATAATTTTTAGCTATGCGTTGCAATCGTTTTATTTCCTCTGCAATATTATGTTCAACATGCATTTCGACTTGTCGTTGTATGGCCTCTCTCATTTCATTAGTCATTTTTGAAATTGTCTCGCGGGTCTCCTTATACATCTTTAATCTGTCCTTCCTTAACTGATTTATCATTTTTAAAATATGCGTTAATCTGTTGTCTAAGCAGGCCTT